AGAAAATAAATGAAGTTAATAGTGAATAGGATTTGGAAGTACTCAAAACTTCAAGTATGTAAGTGTGAATTACTAACCATATAAGAAACTAGTTTTAGAATTTATCCAGACATCATTATGCTGTTTTGATGTGATCTGTCTGTTACTCCCGAAGGGTGACTAAATTTCAGCAGAAGTGAACTGAAAATTAGTTAAGATACAGCAGTACTACAATTGATGCTCATTATTTTCACTAGTTGAGTTTTATAAAGTTGCATGAACACTGAATTAGCAAGTACCAAACAGTTGCTCCTGGGAAAAATACAGATTTAGGTTCCTAAATGCCTTTGGTCACACCGTTTTTATCACCTGATCAACATATAACTTTGTTTTATGTGTGTTTCATTTTAAAGACACCTTATTAATATTTATTATTGATTTTATGTGCATTTGAAATGGTGAAATCGCCAACAAAATGTCTTACTAGTATGCACACGTCTGTGAGTGACTGCAAAAGCACTGGTACCAGTAAATTTGGGGAGGGGGTAAGGAGTAAATTTCCGACTGGCAAATTTGCACATACAGATTCTACAAATAGTGATCAACTGTATTTTGAGATGCCTTTGTAGTTGCATATGTGGATTAGCCACACATTTTGATATTTATTTAGTCTTTATTCTGAGTTTTAGTACAATGCTCTATAATCTGTTGTATGATAATCTAAAGAAAACCCATCACTGGGACAATGAAATTCGTCTTATTCACCACTATTGTTCCTTTCTTTCCCTTGTAATTTCAACTTCCCCTCCAACATATAGTTCCAGCCTCTTACTTTGAGGTGGGAACTTGGACAATTTATATGGCCAAGGCAGTATTTTCTTCCCATTCAGCAGAATGATTGTGTTGTGCCAATCTCTAGGATCTTTGTCAACCCTAAAACTCTGTTATTCTATATATGCAGATCTTGGAAAATTTAGGCTCTAAAACAAATCATAACACTAAATAAAAATGCATTTCCATAATCATACTAAGATAAAAGGCTTAGACTACATAGGTATTTAAAAGCACAGGAATATGTTACAATGTGTTCTTTCAAATACTCAAATTTTGGGGTGCCTGGTGCAGTCAGTTAAGTGTCTGACTCTTGATCTCCGCTCAGGTCATGATCTCATGGTTCAGGATTTCAAGCCGCATGGGGCTCTGTGTTGACAGTGCAGATGCTGCTTCAGATTTTCTCTCTCCGTCTCTCTCTGCTCCCTACTCCCCAGTTCATGCTATCTCAAAATAAATAAATAATTTCTTAAAAAATACTACATTTTAAATAGATGTAGTTTAAAAGATGGGAATATAGGGGTACCTGGGTGGCTCAATTGGTTAAGCATCTGACTCTTGGTTTCGGCTCAGGTCATGATCTCCTGGTTTGTGAGTTCAAGCCCTGCATTGGGCTCTGCTCTGATAGCACAGAGCCTGCTTGGGATCTCTCTCTCCCTCTTTCTCTGTCCCTCCCCAGCTCGCTCTCTGTCTCTCTCTCTCTCTCTCTCTCTCTCTCTCTCTCTCTCGTCTCTCTCTTTCTTTCTCTCTCAAAAAATAAACAAATACCTGATACAATTTCTTTTAAAAAGATGGGACTATATAATTTGTTCTTGTTTTTTTATTCATGAATTATCAATACATGTAGTAGTTTCAGCTGCCATGCTAAGCTCTCTAGAGGTACAATAATAAGTAAGTTACAACTTCTTTCCTAAATAAGCTCATAGGTCAAAAGGGAGGCTCAAGTTATACAAGTAACTATTATTCAATACAGTAAGTATTGTATTAGCTTTATGAGGTTAAAAGAAGTAACAGTTCTTTCTGCCTGAAAATTGGCACCACAAGAAAGAAGTGTTTCACAGGCAGACACATTATGTGGGTCTCAAAACCTTTTGAAAAATAAGTAGAATTTTGCCAAGAAAAAAAGGAAAAGAGAAATCACTCAAAACAGAGGAGAAAACACTTTAGAGCACACTCAGGCATGGAAAAACACCGAGTATGCAAGGAACTCTTCGTGGTCCTTTGAGGCAAAAGTACAGGATCTGAAGCAGGGCAACATCTCTGGAAAGATAGACCGAGGACAACTTGTGAAGAATCTTGAATACCATGCTGAAGGGTTTGGTTGTGACTCTCCAGGAAAAAGCAAATCATTAAAAGTTTCTCACAAAAGGGACATATAAAAACAGATAAAAGACTCAATTAGAAGGGATTCTATGAGCAATCTGACTTAATGTCTGGTTCTATCCTGTGGGCACCAAAACCTGTAAAAGTCAGGCAGTGTGCCTTTCAACTACTTACATACCTGAGGGTGCTTTGTGACTCAAGGCGAAACATGAAGACAAAAAGATTAGTTGACAGTGACTGAAAGCATTCTATACAACTGTACTTCTCCAATGTGGATGCATGTTGGAAACATCAGGGGAACTTTAAAAATGCTGCTGGCTGGGTCTCACCCCTATTGATTCAAATTCAATTGGCGTGGGAAGAAGTCTGGGCATTGAGAATTTTTCAAAGCTTGTCAGGTGATTCTAATATACATTCAAGTTTGAAAACTGCACTAAAACAAGAACCTATTGTTCCTGCAATTCTAGAAGTTATGTTTCCCCAATTTTAAGCTATCTGAAATTCGGACACTTCCTATAACCCTTCTGTGTGTTTCATTTGGAGTTCCTTTCTTCTTCCTTCTAAAATGCTCTTGTTAAATTTATGTGTACATCATATAACCAGTGATGTCTTCGAAAGGAGGAGGTGTACTGTGTAAAATATAATAACTTACAAACAATGAAATAGAAAATATATACAGCAGCTGGGTCTGTTCGTTTCCTTGCTTGCTATTCTGGTCAGTGCCCTCTTCTTGCACTGAACTAGCCCCCATGCTCCTTTGTCTTCTGATTTCTACCCCTTATTTTGCCCACTTATTCCCACCAACTTGCTCCATATGCAGTCTCTTAATTTTGAGTCTTTAGTCAATTGTTTTCCATTGGTTTTTACATCAGGTATATCTTTCCTCCAGTATGCTCAAAAAAGCCTGGCTGTAGTGATATGAACCTTTCTCTCTAACCTTAAGACACTGTCTTTTTGTATTCCTGTTTGTTGTCATTCCCTTTTAGTTTCACTCTAGTGGCAGTGATAGGTTTAAAATCTTTTTGGCTAAAAGAAATGCCTTCCAATTTAGAGTCATTGCTGAAAACAGATCTCTCATTCTTATAGTGCTTATTTTTCTCTCCGTCTCTGTCTCTCTTTCCCCCTCCCTCCCACCCTTTTCTCAAACATCCCCCAACCCCACCCCACAGTGCATACACTCACCAACCAAAATCTCAGGAATAGCTCAGAAGTTTACCGTAAAAGATGAAATAATGGACAAACTGTAGGTGGACTTTTAAAGTGAGAAATGATGAGCACTATGGGAATCATAAGTGCCCCAAGAATGTTCAGTGCCAATGGGAGAAAGAGAAAACAAATCTGAGGGAGTGTTCAGGGTTGCTGTTAGGATTAGCAACTGAATGAATTTGCAGTCTTTTTTGGATATTTGTTTTCTTAGTCTTCTATCATTATCTCTACTGTAATGTAATGGGCATAGGCTCTTGCTTTTCTTGTTTACTCTTGTTTTTCTACTGCCAAGCTCATTTTCTTGTACATGGTAAGTGTCAATTAAATATTTTCCAGGGGTGCCTGAGTGACTCAGTCACTTAAGCATCCAACTTCGGCTCAGGTCATGATCTCATGGCTGGCTCCTGAGTTCGAGCCCTGCGTTGGGCTCTGTGCTGACAGTTCAGAGCCTGGAGCCTGCTTCAGATTCTGTGTCTCTCTCTCTCATTCAGCCGCATTCCCTGCTCATGCTCTCTCTCTCTCTCTCTCTCTCTCTCTCTCTCTCTCTCTCTCTCATTTCCCAAAATATAAATAAACATCAAAAATTTTTAAATATTTTCCAAATAATTGAATTAATGTGTGGAAGGAGTAGTGAGAGAGAATAAAAGCATCAGATACTTGATTTTTAGCATGATCCTAAATCCTTGGTCATATATTTAATAAAAACACCATCTAATAATAATGTTCATCAGGGAGATTTTGCTTAATAATTATTTTGGGGAAATATTTTAGTATGATAACCACTGTATTGATCGGTAATGTGATATTGCTGCATAAATGACTACATTAGGTTGTATTCCTAGAAATTTCTGCTCCATTCCAAGAAGATAGTTATTCTGTTATGCTGGATTATTTGTTTACTGATGTGAACCCCATATCCTGAGAATGACATCTGCAAATTAAAGTGTATTCCATAGATGGCAACCAAAACACAGACCATGTGGTTTGAAGAGTGGTTCAATTGCTTGTCAAAGGATAGATGAAGACAAAAGAGTGTATGTAACACAGAGCAGGATTCAAGGGACTGATTTTAGACCTAGTGTAACTCTCCCCTTCCACGGCCATGGACAAGTCGGTTCTCTTTTGGCCCCAGTTACCTTTCTATAAACAAAAGGGAAAGTCTTCATAACTCTCTAACCTTCTTTCCCAGCTCTTTTTTTCAAAAAATGTCAATCTTATGTGGACATGGGAATTATATTCAAGTAATAAAAGCTATTTATATGTAAAATGATACCAGTTTAGTTAGTTTTATTTTAGAAGGTAGAATTAGCCCTAAACAGGATTTATAGAAGGAGATTTTAGTTCGACCTCAGGGCAATTTTTTAACCATTACATTAATGCAATAAGAAAAAGCCTTATTGTATGAAGTAGTGATGCTTCATGTGGGTATCATGTAGGGAAATTATTCATCAGGTTAGAAAATGAACTTGGTAACACCTTCCAACTAGAGTATATTCTAATTTTGCTGTCTAAGGCTTGACCTCAGGGCCAGTGTTTGAGCAAGCTTGTATGCCAGTATATTGAATCGAATAAATGGTTTTCTTTTGTCATAAAGTAAGGAGGGCGGGAACCATGGAGCACCAAAACTTCGTCTCTTTGATTCGCTCTATCACGTTCAGCAGGTTCAAGGTCAACTGCCGCCATTAATGATTCCCGTGTTCCCTCCTGATCAACGGACACTGGCTGCAGCTGCCCAGCAAGGATTCCTTCTTCCTCCAGGCTTCAGCTATAAGGCTGGATGTAGTAAGTACCATTGATTTTCCATTTGGGAGTGGGTGGAGGGCATGGCTTTAAATTAGGCAATTTAATGTTCCTGCCACACCAAGAAATGACATCACTCATACAGCATTTTTATTTTAAAGAGGAAACACACCAAAAGTGTAGAAAAGGATTTATGTTGCTTTTTAAAAGAACGTAGATTATTTCTACGCTTCTGAAGCCAATATTTGCTCTTAATAATTCAGTTTCATAACTTTCATTTCTCGTGTATTTTTCATAATATGAATATAATTTTCAGGTTCAATTTGTTTTTGCAAAGATAAGATAGGAAGATGCTTTTCAATTGCTTTCCATTGCCTTTTAAGATAAACTCATTTCCTAATGTGAATTAGTTGGCCTTTCCTTATCTGTCTCCTGCCTACGTTTACAGCCTAATTTCTTACTAGTCTTCTTTTAGTTCTTAGACCAAACCATACTCTTTCATGACTCTGGACTTACAATTGTGAGTGTTCGCTCTCTTCAGTATTCTGGACATCCTTCTTTTAATTTTCTTTTTTTTTAATATGAAACTTATTGTCAAACTGGTTTCCGTACAACACCCAGTGCTCATCCCAACAGCCGCTCTCCTCAATGCCCATCACTCACTTTCCCCTCCCTCCTACCCATCATCAACTCTCAGTTTATTCTCAGTTTTTAAGAGTCTCTTATAGTTTGCTTCCCTCCCTTTTTTTTTCCCTCCTTCCCCTCTCCCATGGTCTTATGTTAAGTTTCTGAGAATATTCTGAACATCTTTCAACTCAGATCAGGGAGAACTTGCCTAACCTAGTTAGATCCCTTTCTCTTAGTTCCTTTGGATCCTGTATATTTTCCCTTTTATTTTAATTTTATGTAAGTTCTATGAGAGCAAGTGCTGGCTCTGTCTTATTCATTGTTATATCTAAACTTTTAGTACAACATTCAATTACTTGTTATGAATGAATGAATGAATCACCACTTGTTACAAACACTACAAGGGCATTTTTGCACTAAGTGGGAAGTTATTCCAAGATAATTGTTTATATTGCTTACTAATTTTAGATGCCGGTGATTTTATGACTTTTTTTCTTTTTTTATCAAAACTGAAATTGTATATTGTTAGTTGTGTAAACACTCTAATATTTCACTTTCCAGAATTTAAATAGCCAAAATGCCAACTATAATCTGTTAAATAAAAATCATAACAAATTCCAAAGAGAGAATAGACCACTAAGCAACATATCTCCTGGAACATTATTACCATGGCCAGAAAGAGTATAGAGAAGTCAAGCTCATTAAAATATTTTTATTGATAAAAGTAAAACATCATCGGAAACAATTAATGAAATATGATCATCTTTTAGATATTCATGTAGAATATTGTATTGTAAAGCCCGGTATATGTGGGTTCGTTTATATTTTAATAAATTGTCCCATTAACATCTTGCTATGCTTCAGTATTTATTGCATTTGAGAAACTCTATCCAACATTGCTAGAGATCAGATCTACGCTTCCTGTAAAAATGATGTCTTGGATTTTCACATTTTAACATTTATTCTTAGTCTTTAAACATTTCTCTATATAATATTGAAGAAGTGGGATGCATTTTTTTTAAATATACAAAGCCATTTGAGAAGAGTAGATTGCAGCTATAGAGTCTAGGTAAAAGTGAACTAAACTTGGGACTATAAAAATTCACACTTGTATGATATTTTGCCCTTTGCAGTTTTGAAACTACTCTTTCACGTCTTTCTCTTGACTTTGGTTTCATGTGTTTTAAGATGGTGTTCTCACTCTGGGTCCTGAGTTTATTCCTTTAATATTAGTTTCCACATTATTCTGTCTTCATAGATCGATTCATTCAGAAACACCAACATTTTTTTATGATTAAGGACTATATTTATATTCTAAGCATTTAAGTTGTAAGAATAATTTAAATTCTAAATATAGGATTTTAAACTCTGTTGCTACACTAAATTCTGAGTTTTTAATCGTAAAATTTTGTTTTGTTTTGTTTCCATTTTCCTAAGGAATTGCTATTCACCTTAAACGCACGTTGCCAATGTGTTTTTTGGTAATCTTGGTTATTAAAAAGAAAAACAAAAGACACTTTTGAAAATCATCAGTTACCTGAGATTGCACCTGCAATATGTATGTATAGACAAGTTCTGTTTTCCAGAAAGGCATTTTTTAAGTAACTGTAGAAATAAGTCCCATCAGCAAATATTGGGTACCCAACCATGTTGGGTATGAACAATAGAGTAACTTTGGGCCTGGAAAAGGTCAAGGACACCTCTACCTCACTCCCATTTGCCAGAATTGGCATGCTAAAATTTGTTCAGTGTTAATGTGATGTGGCATGGAGAAACTTCTCCCTTTCTAAAATCGTTCATGTATTATCCATTTGATATTTATGCCTTTGGTGCTTAAAATTACAAACAATACCATTTCTTTTGTAACCTTGGAAATTAAGTAGAATATAGCCTTTACAGCCGCTGGCAAGCCTGAACCTAGTATCATGCCAAACCCTGAAACTCAGAAGCCAGTGGCGCAAGAAAGGACCACCCTTGTTGACACTCTGGCACTTTGACTCAGTTTGGGTGGAAGCACTAAGTAGTCCAGGCTATTTCCTCACTAATCACATTTCAGGAAAGAATAGAGATAGGAAAGGACATAAATCTTGCCATCTCTCTTCAGTGGGTCTCCTTATTTTCTCCCCAGAATTGTCAACAATACGTCAGTTGTTTTAATTTGAGTATGATTACCTAATTCTCAATGAAGAAGACTGACCAACTCATCTCGATTTGTGTTTCAAGTGAATATCAAAGACATATTTGGTGGTATCAGAAATTCAAATGCTTTTCATCAGTCCACTCATAGAAAGTATTGATGATAAATTTTTCCATTTAGACTATGTATCTTGATCAAATAAATAAAATAAAAATCTCTGGAACTATACGAGAAAGTTCAAATGTTCTCAGGAGGGAAAAGATAATATAAGAACATTAAGTTGGGGAACCTAAGCATCACAATTGAGTGGGCATCTGCTGTTTTCAAAAAAAAGAAGCTTTCTGTTGGACATAAAGATATTTTCTCTTTGAAAAATATAATAGTGGAAGTATGGCACAGAATGGAGACCTACTGCTGGATTCTCCCTTAACTGTTAAAATGAATGTCAGTAAATAATAGAAGAATAATTTAATAGCAGTACAACCAAAGACTTCAGAGCAAACTGGCTACATAGTAAAGAAGTTTTAAAGAATGTTGTAGTCCACTCATATCCATGAATATGTAGATCAGTTTACAGATATTGATGTATTATTATCAGAATCTCAGGTTCTGTTTTGGCATTTGCTATTAATGAAATCAAGTATGAAACCACACTTCTTCATGGATCCATATCTAGTTATTACTTTTCTTACTGATTTTTTCAATGTTTATTTATTTATTTTGAGAGAGAAAATGAGTGGCTGGGGGAGGAGCAGAGAGAGAGAGAAAGAGAATTACAAGCAGGCTCTTCACTGTCTGCACAGAGCCCGACGAGGGGCTCAAACTCGCAAACTGTGAGATTATGACCTGAGCTGAACTCAAAAATCAAATGCTTAACTGACTGAGCCACCCGGGCGGCCCCCTACTTATTTCTTAATATCTAAAAATACTTCCAAACTTCTAAGGTGGTAGAGATAATGGTGTATTATTAAGTTTAATATTTTTAATATATATAATAACTTGAAAACAATTACATAAAAACACTGGTTTGATCAATCACCTCAATTCATAGACCATTCCACACGGGGGAAAAATTAATGAAATAATCTGTATTTTTAACTTGTCAATTCTATGAAAACTGTCAACTAAGTTGCTATATGTAGACACACCCCAATTTTTATAATGCATAATTAAAAATCCCAATTTTAAATTATGTTTGTGGGCACCTGCTCATTTTAATCAGTAAACTCTCATTAAAGTTCTTGGAATAAATTTTAAAACTAACTAAGTTTCCTATATTGAATAATAAAATAAATGGTGTAGAAATGAATTGGTTCAAGTACACTTTGGATGGTTGAGGAGTCCAAGGACCCAGTACACTTCCCTCTGCTGAAAAGTCTAAATGAAATCCTAACCTCTTAACCAAAGGCTTCAACCTGTGAACCACAAAAGTTGTTTCATCTGGACTTTTGTGAAATACAATGTACACACATTTGACACCTAGAGAATACTTCATGTCGCAAGAAGACCCCACTTTTGTGTTCACTCATATGGCAAAAAATCTAACAAATTTCACAATAATTTTGAATGTGTATATTGGTTTTAGCATTTTAAACTTGAGAGAAACTTTTGAGATAAGGTGGTTGAAAGTCCTAATTTTGGTTAATACAAATTTCACTGATTCCAACTTCCAGTTCTCTTTCCAGGACACACAGCTTCCTCACGCCCCACCCTCAAAGTTAAATGGCGTTCCCTCGGAACACATAGTTTGTAGGCAGGAATGAGAGGAATAGGTGTTTCTCTTTTCACTAATAACTACAGTCCTCTGCTCCTTTTTGTTTGGGTGTAAAATTTCTAGTCATATAATTCTAACAGCTGCTTTAGAAATTTGTGACAGGAACACATTTTATGCGGAAATAAAAGAATCTGCAGGAAGGCAATCCAATAAAATAACCCATTTTCTGTATACAGTATAAAACAAACAGTGGTAAAAGAGTTGGCTCAAGAGTTTAGCCCAAAGTGTCAAATTGAATGTGTCACATAGCTGCAGATAGTCTTTCCCCATAGATGGGCATGTGCCTAGTGCTGAAGTTCCCAAACTGTGTGCTAAGGTACCAGGGTGCCTTTACTAATTCACAGGGGCATACAACATATTTTAAAATTTCAAGGAAAATACAGAGACATCTGTCAGACACTACATAAAATACCTTAGCTGTTTAGACCTTTACTACTTAACAAAATGGAAGAGTTGGGTATTTCTTTTGTCCTGCAGGTGGCATGAAAAAATTATTGAGCTGTA